ATCGCAATGTGCTGCTTATGCCCTTAATAGCTTCACAGATTCCATCTTTGAAGTCTTGAATCGATGTTGGCTTGTTGACATAGACCTTATCTTTCACGTAGCCCCAAAGGAAGAAAGAATGATTAATAGCTTCGTTGCTTGTGTGACACGTCTTATTGAAAATGGAGAGTCATTTTAACAGAAAAAATCTGTAGCTTTTGGAGCCCCAGATGCGCCAAATTTGCTTATTGACGTAGCGATCGAGGTGGAAATGGGTCTCAACAGTCATCTTGAATCATCCAAGAAATTCCGGATAATTTTCATGCATTTCAAGGGCCCAATCAGCAAAGCCACGACGTTGTTGAAGATTGGCCGGCTTGAATTCTTGTCTTAAATGAACTTTATAAGTCTTAAGACTCAAGTCTTTATGCAAAATATTGCACCCCCTTTGTGGTATTTCCAATTCCAAAGAACGACGAGGAGTTGACAAACCTGGGTTTTCTTCAAGACTTTGGTTTAATTTTCTCAGTTTTTCTTAAGCGACGTGCAGACCTTTAATTCTCTGTCTTACTAACTTGCCCTCAAAATTCTGTAATTTGGTCCGACAAGGTGCTTCACGATGATCAAAAAAATAGATTTACAATTTTCACCATTTTTATAGTGAATTTTAATCATGTCAATGCGTTGTTGAAGCGTGTAACGTTCCATTTTTATTACTGGCGTTGCTTTTACTTGTCAAATGTCAAAAATCACAGCTTCAAAAGTGACATCTACCGTAATAGCGGGCTCTTCTATAGCACACCTCTTGTTGGAAAACCCTTTTTATTCTCACCTATTTAAAGTCGTTGTTGACTATTTTTCGGCGTTAAGCTCTTTTGTTTGGGCACATACATACAAATATATGAATTTTCGTACTCATTAGGTAAATATTTAACAGGTTAAAAAAAATTTAACAATGGATCTTTGTCTTACTTCGAAAGTGTCGCTAATAATTATTTTATAAATATAATTCTTAAAAGCGTTTGACAAATAAAGACAGTTTTTTCTTTAGTTTTCGCTTTTGTCTTTAGCTAAGGCAAGAGTTTCACTAATGACAGTTATCGAAATTTTTTTGTTGATTTTTATTTTTTTAATTATTTTTTTTTTTTATAATTTTTTTTTAATTATTTTTTTTTATATTTCAATTAGTTTTTTAAATTTTTTTTAATTCTCTTTTATAATTTTTTTTTTTTATTTTAAAGTAGTTTTTTCATTTTTTCCTTGTATTAATGGTACTTTTTTGAATGTGAGTTGTTTCTTTTTTTTAAATAAATTTAATTAGCTTAATATTTTCACAGGCAACCGCAAGCCGATGTTAATATTATATAAAGTTAGGTTTGCGTTCATATTGGTTATCGATAATTGAAATTTTTCATCGTTGTCATCCTGTGTTGGCTTTTACGGAAGTTATTCAGTTGTTGAAGGAATATTTAATAAATTTGCAATGAGATTCCTTAGAAAATAACAAAAAAACCTCTAAAAGAACTTCACTCAGTGAGTAATACATTTTCTGTGTACGTGTAGATTAAAGCGAGAGTTCATGGTAATGGCTAAATATTAACATATGTATGTTTACAAAGCAGTGGTATTTAGTTATTTTTTTTTATGTGTCACAGTGTTGAAAATAAAAATAAAATTTTAATATAGTTCAACTACCAAACACTTAGTAAATCAACGCTACCTAGAAAAATTTTAAATTTTGCACAAAGAATGTCAAATGATTCATTCGAAATTCCCCAAAAATGTTACCGCAAGTAAATATACTATGTATATACCTACATATATAGAACACCCTCAAGGTCTACAGATGAGTTATGCTTTTTAACGAAAATTTTTAGATTACAATTACGTTTCCCCCCAGCCAAATTGTCGCTATCAGAACGTAGTATCGCTGCTCCATTAGTAAGAAGTTTAACATAGTGATACAACACTTATTTAAAATCAATTACGACTCATACTTGAAAGTACTTACATATGTACGTATCTCCTGTAAGTGTTAAAAAATGAAACAAGCACTTGACGCAATGGAAACTAAATCGTATCGATATTAATTGAAGCTGGTATTATCAAGTCAATAACATACAATGAAATGAATGATAGGAAAGCAAGCATCAGCTCGTAGCATACAGTGCTAAATGTAAATAAACTTACAAGCACTTGAATGAAGTACTTTTGTAACACAAAATGTGTAATCTCAAACTTTAATTTAAAAATTTTTTCTTCGAAAATAAGTTCGAAAAAAATATCGTTTCGTTCCTTTGTTATTTTCATGCTATAAACAGAATTCGTGAAAGGAAAAATGCTTGAAATTTTTTGAGATGTAATTTTGAATGGCTTGCTATCCCGGTAGATGTCATCTTTGAAGCTGTAATTTTTTGATTTTTATTTGCCGATGGATCTACATCATTCGGCAGCATGACTGCACTTCGTCTAAGAGAGTCAAATCAATGGTCTACTCAGGTATGGGGTCACTCGACAATACTGGGTAAATACGACTTCATACCAAGTTATACGGATAGATGTGGTCCAATAGTGGTAACTGATAACCACTTTAGAATACGAATTCCCAGCAGGCAAGAATGGATAGAAAATTACAATACTCCAAATGATAGACTGAAAATATACTCGGACGGGTCAAAGCTTCAGGAGAGAGTTGGTGGAGGTATCTTCTCAGAAAACCTTCCGAGGGAACTCTCGTTCAGGCTACCTGATCATTGCATTGTTTTCCAGGCGGAGATATCTGCTATCATGGAGGTTGCAAAGCAATTTGGAGCAAGCTTTAAAGGTAAAGTCATTTTCATTTCAGCGATAATCGAGTAGCAATAAAAGCACTGGGCTCGCTTACGCTAAACTCCAAATTAGTGCTGAACTGTCGCCGATCTCTACAGGAGATGGCCAAACAGAACAGACTGTCTCTCATATGGTCCCTGGTCACAGGGATATCGAGGGAAAATGTAATGCGGTTGAACCTACTAGGCGGGGTACAACCAAGTAGATTCTTCCCGATAAAAAACCTTTTGCTACATGCAAACTGCTTTTAAAGGAATTCATACATGAAAAAGCCGCTACAAGTTGGAATGGCATCACAACGTGTCGCATAACCAGGCACACATGGCCGGAATGGGATAAGTAAGAGTTATGTACTCCTTAAAAAGAGACGACATGTCCTAAGCTTTAGGAGTTCTGACAGACCACTGTCTGATAGAGCCCCACGCAGAAAGACTAGGAGCGCCTTAGAGAAGATGCAGAAGCAGAAGGAGGATGAAAAGGAGGAAACGATCACCCATCTCTTATGCGACTGTCCTGCTTTAAACAGGGCGAGGTTTCGTAATTTTGGAACCCTACTGCTGGATGGTCTACAGAAGATAGCTGACGTCAAAGTCATGGATCTAATAATGTTCATTAGAGAATCAAAATGGATGGAGGATGAAGCCTGATGGTTTAAGTTTTTGTGGTATCACAATGGGTCTAAGTCAGGCTTAAGTGAATCCGGTATGTTAGATCAGTAGCCACCGCAACCTAACTTAACCAAACCAGGTTTGTCGACACCTCGTCGTTCTTTGGAATTGGATATACCACAAACGGGGTGCAATATTTTGCATAAAGACTTGGGTCTTAAGACTTATAAAGTTCAGTTAAGACAAGAATTCAAGCCGGCCGATCATCAACAACGTCGTGTCTTTGCTAATTGAGTTCTTCAAAAACATGAAAATTTGTCCAGAATTTCACTGATGATTCAAGGTGATTGATGAGACCCATTACCACCTCGTTGGCTGCAACAATGAGCAAAACTCTCGCATCTGAGGCTCGGCAACACAAAATTTATTGAGGAGAAGTCTCGCCACCTTCAACGTATAACTGTTTGGTGTAATTTGTGGTCCGGCCGGATTATTGGACCTTACTTATTCGAAAATTATGGGGAGGCAATAGTTAGGTGGAATGGATTGTGCTATCGAGAGATGATTATGATGAGCTAGACAACGTTTACTTTCAAGCAACGCAACCATCGACATGTTAGGGGAAAATTTGGCGGATCGTGTTTATCTGTCGAAGCGGTGATCGCAATTGGTCACCGAGATCTTGTGTTTTATTACCTTGTGACTTCGTCCTTTGGGGCCATGTGAAAGAAAAGATCTACGCCAACAGGCGAACGTCGATTCAAGACCCAAAAGATGGAAGTCGTGAAGCTATTGGAGGCGTACAGCAGCGACTTAGCGATTTGGTGAAGAAAAATTTCACAAAAAGTATATGGTTCTGTTAGGATAGACGTGGCGGCCATTTGGCTGATATTCTTTTCCATTATTAATGGCATATTTTCCTCTTTACATTGAAATAAACATCCGATCGTTTTCCCAAACAATTTCATTTCTCTTTGAATATGAAAATAACGCCTTTTATTGGAAGACCCTTTATTTGACACAACCAGAAGAATAATCCATTTGCCGCACATATTTACAAAATGATCATTTTGAAAATCAATAACCCAAAATATTTCCCCTCTCGCTGCGAATGAAGTGCGATACAACGATGACGAATACAATGATTCTGAACTTACAAAACTAAAACACTTGTGCTTGCGTTTAAACAAATTTCAAGAACAGAAAAATATCATAAATTACTAATTGAAATAAATCCAAAAAAAAAAAAAAAAAAAAAAAAAACCGAAATTTCTGTGAGTAGTCGATATTCACCTCAAAACAATTACTTCGCCAACCCCCCATTCGCCAAACTAAAATTACTTAAAAACTTTTATTTTCATAGTGTTTGTGGAGCAGATAAGGCCAAATATGTGGAAAACACACAAGCATTCATTCATACACCTGCAATTTACCATTGTTTACATCTACACATACACACACATATATATATGTACATAAAAGTGTTTATATGATTGCCGGCAGTTCGAATAATTTTTATCATATCGATTCATAAAACCATTTGTTCTGTATTAGTTAGTTATCATAGAGACTCGTACTTCGGCATTCGCACCGGAGCACTTCTTATGGCACTCGTACACCCTAGTGGCAAAAATCAATCAGTTAGTCTGTTCTAGTATTTGGTGCGCGATTGAATTGGCGAAAAGTAATCATCTCCGGTGGTCAATAATAATCGCAGGCGCAAAGAAGCAAGCAAATAATATCGATTCAAGTCCAGTCAGCCGGTTTTGTAGTTTCAAGGATTGATTGAAAGAATTTACCTAAATGCTTTGCAGTGTTATTGTAACTTTGAAGTGTTGCTAATTTGTTATCGATTGTGCATTGTTACTTAACGACCATACGTGTACGTGGTGCCGTGCCTGTTTGTAAGAGTGTAGTGACGTCATTGGCAACTACACTATTTAACGGTATTCGATTTCGTAATAATAAAATCGTGCTTGACATTTGTAAAAAGTGAATATGGCTGATATTTTGGATATCGAACATCATCAAGTTCTACATGAATACCAACAGACGTTGGAGGAGCTTTTGCCGAATGTAAGTTTTGGAAAACGGTTGAAGAGAAAATAGAATTAAAACCAGTTTTTTTTTCGATAAAATTAACAAGAAAATTAACTACTTTTGATTGAGATTCATAAAAAGCATTCTCTCCCAAATAATTGAATTTGAATTATCGATAAATTATGTGTCAAACGGCAAAAGGCAAATTTAGGTTTATCGATTTCTATTTGGAGAGTTCAAAGTCTACATCTGTGTAAATAAAATATAAAATTATAGAAAATGTCTTGGCGTTTAATATTTACTTGTAGCAAAGCATTAGAATAAATTTTTTCACCGGAAATAATAAAAAATGTGACGAAATTTTTAAATATTTCTTCTTTAATATATGTAATTTGTTTTTAACATAACCTAGTATAATTTTTTATGCTCACATTGATCCTTTCTACTATCAGTAATTTCCTTGAAAAATTTTACTAGCCAAGTGTAATTTATAAGTTATAAATAACGATTGGAAATTTATTACCCATTTATTTTGTAATCGAAAAAGTAATTAACGTCTACCCATACAGCAGTGTTCATAGAAATACTCGTATGTGTTATCAGTATTGAACAAAAAGCACATAGATACTTGCGCCGTTTAACACCGATTTATAACAATTTTTGGGATTTCCATTGCCAATTTCACATTTGAATATAATTAAATCACTATGTAGTAGTGCTCAAGATTTTTTTTTTTCGAATATTTTTTTCGATCATTGGAACAACGAGTAATCGAACGACTACGAGCTCGAGCAGTTCAGGGCGAATTTTTAGAAGGTGAAGTTGTCACATCATATATCAAGTGTTTGCTTGTTCTTCCTTCCGTCCAATTCACAAAATTGTGCATGCAAAATACATAAAAAAGATTTCGAATCTATGATTATACAAACAAAATACCTAGGCTTTTTATTGTTGTATTCTTGCTACTATCGTGTGTAAATTTTCTTTGGAGCAACCGAAGCTTTTTCAAGCCTTCCAATTTTTTCCTCAGAATATTTTTTATATTTTCAAAAATATTTACACAAATTAAACTACTTGCTTTATATATTTTTCATTGCATACAATATTTAAAATGTTCGTTTCTATTTCTCCACATTAGACTGTATTTTTACCGCCTCACGTACTTTTTATCGCCTGATAGTGTTTGTTATCAATTCCTTTGCAACTTTCATTATCGATTATGTTATGCAAAGTAGTGTGTGTGTGTATTAATTTCATAGTGATTGCGGTGTTGAATTCGAATGGGGGCTGGTTGTAGATGAAAAATATTGTTTCAAAAATAATAGTTATTTTTCGGCAGCTGGTATATATATATATATATGATATGTATTCCTCTTCTTCTTTTAGGCAATTAAATATTAATTTAAATAAATTCATAAACTTTGAAAGTTGTTAAACACTCGCAATAAATACTTGCAAAAATTGTTTGCCTTATTTTTTAAAGGCTGTCCGACGCCACTGTTTACTATTATTAATTATATATTTTTCACCTTGCAAATTTTGTTTGTGTTTCTATGCTCATTTGTATTTACTTACACATAGCGTTGTGCGATTTCCCACACACTGTTTTCAATTTCATTTAAATTTCTTTTATCTTATCTCGTACCATGATAAGTTCAGACATAATTATCGCGAAAAAAAATAGCATCAGGTTTATATATACATACTTATGTATATATACATTCCCTCAGTTGGCGAATTATTCTATAAATACGATATGACTCCAATGCATTTGATTATTACGCGAAAAAAAGGTGATCAATATTCTTTTATATAGTTATTTTTGGTTTTTTTTTATTAATTATGTTGTAAACTTATATTTTTAATATTTTTGCTTAATTTTACTTCCAAAATGTTACCGCGTGATTAATTGCCAAATTGTGAATTTATTTTCCTTACGATATGCGCCCTATGCAAACCGGTATTTTTATCGATAACTAGTATGTGAGCTTTAAGTCCTACTCTAATTGCAAAACTTTATGATTTTTTTTTACATTCGATTCTTTGTTGACGTAATTGCAATGTTAACATATTTTGTGCGGTATTTTCTTTACTCTTGCGTTTGGAGATTTATTTCTAATGTATTTCGTTTGCCATAAAAAAAATGTATGCACATTGCCAACAGTCGGCATATTAATTGCTAAATTAAAGGTGTGTTGATATTGTAGATTCGTAACAAACACAGCGAGCTTAAGTTTGAGGTCCAAGAATTTGTGCGCGATAAGGCATGCCTGCGTAAGAGGCCGCTTAAATTCAATGATACCGGGGATAGTTTGGAATTTTTTTCCGTAAAATAATTTCAAGCTGTTCGTTTGAGTTTTTCAAGAAAAGAGTTCAGAAATGAGCTGCAGGCCTACACCATTTACATATGTATAACATAGGTATTAAAGAGTATTACTCATAACCCACAGCTGTGGCTTCACTAAATTAATACTTTTAGAGCAGGCTTGGCACATTTTAGTTGGAAATACCTAGTGTATGTTGTATAAAAATTAAAAATTTAATATTTTTCTGCCCAAAATCACCGGCGTTTATTTGTCTTAATTCGTCCAAATCTTTGCTCGTCTAATATTTACATATTTTATGCATACATACAAACTACATTAAGTAGATTTTGCCATTGGTTCAATGATTCATTCGATTATTATAAGCAACAACTCTCGGCGAGCAGCATGAGCAATCGATGACGAGCTGGTGAATGAATTTACAAAGACCACCTTTGTTTACAGTTGCAAACTTCCAAATTCCAGTTTGCATTCCATTCAGGTCGTCAATCAACCACTAGGAGTGTTTCGCTCGTGTCCGTCCGTGTCTGGCATTGCCCTTATTTGGTGTTTGGCAGGCTTCCTTAAATAAAGTGAAGTAAACAAATCATAATACTTACTTGCTAAGTGAATAAGCATTTATATGTATGATATTATATAAATGTTGGCGCGCGTTTGGTGGTAAATATATACATACATATGTATGTGGGGAAAAGCAATTAAAGAAGTCGCACGTCTGTACAAAGTTATATAAAAGTATAAGCGGACAGTGGCAAACACATTTATTGCGCATAAATGTAAAAGAAGCTCAGCTCTGTTGCCTACGCTGTAAGTGTCACCGCGGCTGCAGTCAGCAGCGACGCCATCAAGTTGTTTTGTCATTATCAGTAGTGCCGGCATATGGCGGTGCTTTTATTTGGTTGTGTGTGGGTTGTAGTAACGTTGTTGTCTCTCGACTGGCAAACATGAGAACTGGTTTTCTCGCGCCTCAAGCGGCGAGTCAGCGTATCCGATGTTAACGACTACGTACACGTTCGCAGTCGACGACGTAGGCGCTGCTTGCTTATCGGTGTTCGGTTGTTTATTGTTTTTAAATTTTAATGCTGATTTTCTTGTGTTTGGTTGTTGAGAGTTTTATGTATAAAAATCGAATTGGTGATTTACACGCCACCATAGCTGACCTATGTATGGTTGCGCATAAATAAATATGTAAATATGAGTGTATGCATACAATAAATCGATTGCTCGCTGAAGTCACCCGCAACCGGAGATAATCGTATGGCTGCGCTATCGCTGACCGCGACTGCGATTCGTCACTTAAATGTATGTATGTACATATGGAAATTGTACATTTCGAGAGCAAACACAAGCAGGCATGACTCATGCCTTTGATTGCATTGATTCATTTTCATGAACGGCCCATGCCATTAAACGCGCTTCCTTTCTTCCTTATAACTATTAAAATATTGTTAAATATGTAAATATTTATTTGTTAATCACACCAATTTTATTTACATTTGTATGTATGTACTTAATAATTTTTGTTTTTGCTTATTCTATTACTTTTTTAGATTGATGCCAACAAAGATGGCTTCATCGATTTGAGTGAATTGAAAGATGCCTTGGATCAGGTGGGCTTCAAATTGCCTGGCTATCAGGTGCGTGAAATGATCGATGAGTTCCAGAATAAGCAGCGCACATCCCATCAGGGCAAATTGAATATCGAGGAATTTGAAAATCTCTGCCTTGATCTCAAATCGAAAGATGTAGCGAGTACTTTCAAGACGGTCGTCTCGAAAAAGGAGAACCTAGAGACGTTGGGTGGCATGTCAAGCATATCGTCCGAGGGTACCACACACTCCGTACGCCTTGAAGAGCAGCTTGCCTTCTCTGATTGGATTAATTCGAATTTAGGTTATGATCAAGATCTAAAACATTTGTTGCCCATCGATGCCGAGGGCAAACATCTGTATCAAGCGATCAAAGATGGCATTTTACTGTGCAAAATTATTAATCACTCCTGCCCGGACACCATTGACGAGCGTGCCATTAACAAGAAGAATTTAACTGTTTATCGTGAGTTTGAGAATTTAACGCTGGCGCTAGTTTCATCGCAAGCGATCGGTTGCAATATCGTCAATATTGATGCACATGACCTTGCAAAGGGTAAACCCCATTTGGTGTTGGGTTTGTTGTGGCAAATTATCCGTATTGGTCTCTTCAGCCATATTACGCTCGACAGCTGTCCCGGTTTGGCAGGTCTACTTTTTGACAATGAACGTTTGGAGGATTTGATGAAACTATCTCCGGAAGCCATACTTTTACGTTGGGTCAATCATCATTTGGAACGTGCTGGTATTTCACGTCGCTGCACCAACTTCCAATCGGACATTGTCGATTCGGAAATCTACTCACATCTACTTAAGCAGATTGCTGGCAATGAAGTCGATGTCAATCTGGACGCTTTGCGTGAGTCTGATTTGACGTCGCGTGCGGAGATTATGTTGCAGCAGGCGGCCAAATTAAACTGTCGCAGCTTCTTGACACCGCAGGACGTTGTCAATGGGGTCTACAAGTTGAATTTGGCCTTCGTTGCGAACCTGTTCAACAATCATCCCGGTTTGGATAGGCCCGAACAAATCGATGGGCTGGAGTCGATCGAGGAGACGCGTGAGGAGAAAAGTAAGTAGGGTGGAATGGGAAGAAGTTGAGTAAAGTAGTTAAGGTATTATCAAAAATGATTTAAAACTTTTTATTGAAATATATTTCGAAAGTACAATTAGACTTTGAATTTTTTTTTAAAAATTTTTCTTTGAATAATTTTAACGATCGGTAAAATTTTTAAGCTTTGCATTATGCCTTATCCACATTTTCTCCTTTTCCTTAATAGCTTACAGAAACTGGATGAATTCCATGGGTGTGGCCCCACACGTCAACTGGTTGTACTCCGATCTTGCTGACGGTTTGGTCATCTTCCAGCTGTTTGATATCATAAAGCCCGGCATTGTGAATTGGCAGCGCGTGCACAAGCGTTTCACACCCCTCCGTAAATTTATGGAGAAATTGGAAAATTGCAATTATGCTGTGGATTTGGGTAAACAGTTGAAATTTTCGCTGGTCGGTATTGCTGGACAGGATTTGAATGACGGCAATGCCACGCTAACCTTGGGTGAGTTGAAAAAAATAAGTAAAAATGTTGCTTTGTATAATAACCGTTGCGCAACCTCTCACCCTCTCAGCTTTGATATGGCAAATCATGCGTGCCTACACATTGTCAATTCTGTCACGTCTGGCCAACACTGGCAGTCCCATCATCGAAAAGGAAATTGTGCAATGGGTGAATAGCAAGCTGTCTGCAGCTGGCAAGACATCGAGTTTGAGGAACTTCAATGATTCGGCCATAGCCGATGGTAAAATTGTGATTGATTTGATTGATTCCATTAAGGAGGGTAGCATAAACTATGATCTGGTGCGAACTGGTGGCACTGAAGAGGTTTGTATTTTTTTTTTTCTTCATTACAAGTGTGAATAATTAATAATAATTATTCACTTCGTTCCGCAGGATAACTTGGCCAACGCTAAATATGCTATTTCGATGGCGCGTAAAATTGGTGCACGCGTTTACGCACTGCCCGAAGATATAACGGAAGTGAAGCCGAAAATGGTGATGACAGTCTTCGCCTGTATGATGGCGTTGGATTACATTCCCAATATGGATAGTGTGCCAAATCAGAATCAAGAACCCATTGCTGTTGTTGTGAATGATGTAACCATCAATAATACGAATAGCCACAACAACACCAATAGTAACAACATTAACAATACAAACAGTAACTAATGATCAATTAAATGGCGGCCGCAACACATCTAAATATACATACACAGCATAAACAAACATATTATATAAGACGAGTAAAATTGTAAACAAATATAAATTTATAAATTAAAAACAAAAAAAAAAAAAGAAAAACAATTCTATATAAAATAAGCAACGATAAGCAACAACCAGAAATGCAGTAACGAAGAAAGCTGAACTACGCGAATTATTAATGAAATGCAACACTATTCATGATTCTTCAGCGATAATAACAATAAAAAGAAACGGCTGGAATTAAATATACACACTACATGCATACATACATACACACATACGTACAAAAGATGTATGGTGTTAAGCAATATATACATACATTCAAACTACCTAAAAACAAACTAAAATTATTAATTTCGTCTATAACACAAACAAACAAAAAATAACTTACATACTTTATATGCTATGTATTGTAATTTATTAATTTATTTAACTTTGACAAAGAAGCAAGAATTTTTTTTAAGAGAAAAATGTATGCAAATGTTTATTGGAAGTATGCAGCTATTGCTTTTCCAAACAACTTGCACTATACAGAGTATGATTTATAAATGAGAAAGACATTATTATTGGATTATGATATAATGATAACCTTATTTTATAAATAAAGGTTTATTTTTACATATTTGTCAAGTTTTTTTTTTAATTAATGCAAAAACGTAAGTATAACATAGTGGGTTCTAGTCAAATGCTTTATCCCTTGTATAATTCGTAAACACAGCTGCCCTAGGCTCTATTAATATATATAATTGGCGCTTTGTAACCGCTGAAGTGATTTTCGGCCGAGGGTCGATCGCAATTAGAAAATTTTACTTATTTCCTTATTTAAATGCTAGCCACTCCGTTACTGCGGTCGCAATAATTAATACTTAATTTAAATTTTTTGCATTGCCTTAAAGAAGAATTTGTGTTCAAAAAAAAGAAGCTCTGAGCTATTCTTAACCAAATCCTCGTACAATTTGATTACTTTTTTTCTCAAATTATAGATACATTTTTCGAATATGAGCCAAAACGTATCATAAATTACAAGCAATAGTGTGGTTTTAGTGACGCTTCGATTTATACAGTTATAATTATATATACATCGGTATTTAAAAGACCCAATCAGGGTAGTTACAGAAACGAATTGAAACCGACAAAATTCTGCTGAAGGGCTTACACATTTCGATTATTGATGCATATTTTCCATTGGCGTTCATTGGTAAAATTAGTCAGCGTGAGCAAATAAAACTTTCGAAAGCCTTTAGCATTTCTGTTATAACCACCAAGACTGTAGAAGGCGCCAAGGAGATATTTTTATCGTTACCCACAGACCGTTGATAGGCGCCATCAGCCAAAAATTGCAGTGTGGCTGTAAGTTGGAACACATGTGGCATAGACAGCCTTTCTAACTGGTCTTCAATGACATCAAGCATGTTGAGGCGGGAATTAAATCACTTTACTTTCACTTGGTTTAAGTATAACTGACTCCACAATCTGTAGAGCGTTTATTTATATAAATTTGTAATGTGAAAATTTACATGCATGCATATGTGTACATAAGTATGTTTACATTAGAAGATTACCCACGAATAGATAATCTTATCTTATGTTTTAATTTTTATTGCTTTACATATTCATGATAAGAACATCAGTATACATAGATGCTTATGTTGTTGTAAAGGCATCAAGTATCAATATTCATATCATGAGTATGTGTATATGGACATCTGTTTGTACTTTAATTTTTATTGCCTGGCCTATAAATGTCATACAGCATATGAATTTATGGCCATACATTTTAATTGCTGGCTTATCGTTTCGGAAAACTAAACAAATGTCATACAGCATATGAATTTATGGCCATACATTTTAATTGCTGGCTTATCGTTTCGGAAAACTAAACAAAGCACTTTTACAAAGATTTCTTTGCGAAGACGTTATTGGCCTATGCAACTACGTAAAAACAAATTTTGTATCAGCAAATGTAAAAGTAGTATGCAAATTGCACTCACATAGCTCCAGAGGATTGTTCTTATCCCCTAAAATTGTGTGCTTTATTTTCTCGCTGGTGTTGCTGAATCCTTCTCACATCATAAAAGCTATCACTGCCGAAGTCCTCTTATTTTTAATTAATAATCAAAGAAATGTGTTAAAACCGGCACCAAAATTAAATTGAATTGCTTGCTGGGCTTTTTTGCACAAGTGTGTTTACAGCTCATGCGAATAACGGTTTTGCTTATCTTCGAAAAAAAAAAGAAATAAATTCGCCTTGCATAAATCCATTTCAAACAGAGATTGATTTTCAATTCCGATAAATTCTGTGTCGGTTTCTCTAACACCCCTGAATAATTCTAAATAATATTTTATAATAAAAATGTTTTGAGCGCTACAACTTTTGCACATTAAACACAAAAAAATAAACTAAGGTGTAGATTAAGTTCTCAATTTCATGTGAAATTGTTTTGTCTCGCTGGAATGTGTATTTAAATCGAAAAATTGAAGTGGAAAATATTTGAAAAAATTACTAAAATCTAGAATCAACACTGCAGGAACCTTAGAGGTCTCATTCTGCTACGGTTTCATTTTCTTTAACGACTTTTATATATATTTTCTTTTTCAACTGTGGTGAGCTGTTAGTGGCAGTACCATTTTTCAGCTGTGCAGTCTCATGTTCAGATTCATTTGCGTTGGTCCCATTTGTGCCCTTTTCGTAGGAATACGAAATTGTGCGTTTGTAAATACGTTGTTGTTTGTTCTTAGTTTTATGTTCCTTCCCTTTAGCCGCACGATGTCTATTGTCACTGGCAGCTCTTGCATTTCTGGGTGTATAACATTTGATGGTAGTGCCGTCGCCATCGACGCATTGATAGCAAACTTTTCCACGCCGCACCATTTGTATACAAGTGCTACTATCTTTTGGCGCTTTATCTTGAGTGCGTCTATTTTTTATATTTCGCTTATTAGTTTCATCTGAAGTAGTTTTAGCAGTTACTTCCTCCGAAGACGTTTGTTCGACACTTTGCGATGAGGGTTCTTCAGCGTCACGTTGCTTTTTATAACTTGTTTCTTTTTCGAAGGCATACCTTTGTGGCTCACTTTCGCGTGAAAAAGAGCAAGATTCAGATTTTTCCCCAGTACGTACATTTTCACATACCATACAATTCTGTTTATGTTTTTTAACGCGACGACATTTGTCTTTCTTTTTGTGTTGTGCTTGATTTTTCGTTTCCTCTGTCAATGGTTCCGTTTCCGTTTCCGCTGATGCTGAGTTGCGTTCCGCTTCCAGTTGCTCTTCAACGCTTCCAGCGCCATCTAGCGCCTCGTCATCATTCTTCTCAGTTGAATCGTCGTCTTCTTCTGCTAATTTATCGCTAAAATATTGACGTACAAAAGCTTCATATGCCTGATCGTAATTAAATTCATCACTTGACGGTGCATACAACTGATCTTCCGCGGGATATTCATAAGTGTTATCCGTTGACGTTTCTGTACGTTTCAACGTTGGTTGTGGTGTCGAATAAGCAATTGCTTCCGGTTCAGCAGGTAGTAAACTGGTTGTTGGTGCTGAATCTGATCTACGTTGTGCTATGGCAGGTGTTAAGTATGTTGAGTGTTCCAAAAGGCGCAGCAATTCACCGGGTGCGAATGATTCCCACACATTTTGTTCCAAGCGCGTAGGCTGCTGCACTTGACCGACACCCAAGCACAGCGCGAACGAAGAGACGATAAGCAGAGGTGAGTACCACTAAAATTATTATGTATTATTTTAATTCGGCGTTAGCTACAACATAAAGAAAGATACCAACCATTTTGAACTGTGCTCCAAAAGTAAATGAGGAAATTGGTTAATACTCAGTGCTTTTATAAATGCAGCAGCATTGTTTACTTGATACAGTTTGGTAGACCCAATTTTTAATTGCACTACCGGCAAGCGAGTATGATTTTTTATTTTGATCAAACCGCAAAATGTCACACTTCACTTGACGCTTTACGCAGGAAATCATTGCGCTGCTGGTTATGGTGCAAGTGTTTTGTACAAAACTTGAGAAAAGTAGAGATGACAAAATTTATTTCCGAACCACATTTTTTTTTGCTGAGGTAAGCAATTTATGCCACTTTCGATACAATAAAACAATTAAGTGTTTCTCTTAAATATATTAAAATTTTTATTTAGCCTAATATTTAAGTTACAAACTTTTATAACATACAGCTGAAATGTAATAAAACAAATTTTTACGCTGAGCTTAAATAAATAATTTTACACAATATGCGTTAATGGACTACAGCAATGAAAGACATATACATCTAAATAGGATAAACATCGATTTAAGCAATATATAGTATGTTAGCAAGTCATATACCTTTGAGTATATTTTTAAAGGAATGCAATTTAGCAAATTTTCAAATCCTTACATTACAATTCTTTAAGCATAATTTTACAACAATAAGTACAGAATTATCTAAGCTGAATTCCAAAAAAAATTCTAATTTTGCTAAAACAAAAATTAGTTCATGTACACATACACACATGTATATATAAATGTATAAACACGAATGCAACCACATTAACTGTTTGTGTAGTTGTGTTTACCTACCTTTAGTGTATTTACACAGGTGTTTGCAAGTATACATAAATATAACAAAATTAATATTTTACCGAAGTTTACTACAAATGTTTAAATTGTTTATCCTTGTATTGTGGTGGCATCCACATATACTATGTACGCGTATGCTGGACGCCAGGTCTCTGTTGTGAGGTATCAATTCCGGCAGTTTTCGACATTTTCTGTTGGCGTTGTTGACGCATTTCACGACGTTTTTCGCGTATCAGCTGTTTAGTTTGCTCTGTATCCAACTCATCCCATCCACCATCAACAGATTCGTCTACCCAGTCTTCAAGATCCGCCTATTAATATATGAATGTACAAATTATTTATAAAAATATTGCACAAAAAAATCTGTTTCATTTAATAATTAAAGTAATTACATTCATTGCTATTGGCACATCGGTTGTCGCTTCTAATCTGGAGAAGTTCGCCTTATCAGTATTATCATCACCGAGGTAATATTTCGGTTGTGGTTTTATGACGGGCTCTAATTCCTACAAACGAAGTGTTAAATACACAAAACTATACAAATATATTACAGTAACTTACAGTAAAGAAATCTGGTTCTGGCTCTGCAGGTGGCGGCGTTGGCGGTTTAGCTAATCGCTGCCGATACTGTTCGATATGTTCCGTAACGGTGCGCGGGCTGTCATCCCAAGAATTCCAATCCCTGTCCACCTATGCATACAAATATTCACAATCCAATGATGATTAACAATATCATTTGATTAAGTACTTACTAGATTTGTTTGCTGTAAGCGGCTGGAATTAGGCGACTGCGTTCCCACCGGCAACGTCTCTTGCCCTCTGTCAACAATGATTTTTATTTCCACGGGCTCTGAAAAACTCGCCTTACGTCGCCGTCCAAAAGAAAAACAACAGAGCACACGCCTAAACAATTTTATAATAGTTAGCAGTAAAGCCTTGAATTGTTGTATCACCATTGTAACAATTCCTTTTGTGAGATTTTGCTAAAAACTTCCAATTAGAAAAATTATTTAGCAGCTGTGCTGGCGATTGACCCCATTGACAGCTGAACAAAAACATTGAACAGAGTTGCTTTGCAATTTGTATCTACTACGAAATTATGTCAACCCAACAAGCGAAAAGTTTACGTTGGACTGGTCGTTGAAAGTAATTACGATATGTAGAATGCGTTTCAAAGATCGACTTCCTTATTCTGTGGAAATTCTATTTTTGTACTATTTTGAATCTAAATTCATATTTAGTTTTGGAACTGGAGACTTACAACCACTGTACTGAAAGCTGTTTGTGAAATGTTTTGTGATCTATGCGTGACACCCAAAGTGTTCCGAATCTAAATGATGACCGTGCTGGCAATAAATCAGATGAATTACTTATGCAATAACTATTAAACCCTTAACGGGCTGGAGTCGTATATGAGGTACCCTAAATGCTCTATGCAATGAGAATTTCGAAAGTAGACCTAATCTATGGGCACTAACCGCGAGCAGGATGGGACATTATTGGACACCATCGTCAGGACCGTGACAGTAAAGCTCTTCATTGATCACAAGCACAGTGTAACATCAGTGCTATGAGTTAAGGTGCATAATGTTATGCTCTCGTACCATTGGGAGACCGACATTTGACATTGGAGGGTTCCTTTCCACGTGTGCTCAGCATGAAGGCCAAAAACAGGAGTCTGTGTATTGTATTAATCGAAATTTCGTCGACATCTTCTTGAACTTTCTTCCACTGAACAGCATACTTGGAATCTAAGCACTATCAGTTGCTCACAAAGAACTCGAGCTGCTTCGCGGGTACCCAGTAATACTGATACAATTAAGATCTGAATATTGTAATCGAATTAATTCCTACTTATCCAGACTTGATTTCTGTATGAGATGAGACAACAAACAACATTAACGACGTCTTTGTAAATCCCTTACCCCTACTTATCTAAACCACCTTTCCGACTTCGAAGCAGCTCGTTTCCTGCACAATCCATTAGATGAGCTTGCGAGTAGTATGTAGTGTAAGTCTCAATGAGCTCGGAACTTCGCTGGTCAGAGAACGAGAATAAGTTTCAAAACTGGACATCGCGAAAATATTTGAAGGCCTACTCGTCGGCTGTTTCAATTAATTCTATTGAACGCTCAACTGGTACTGCAAGAGAACGACAGTTCTATGTAAGACTCAGCAGGCAGCCAGTATATTTAACATCTAACCTGCTAACCTTCCATGGCTTTAGTTAACCGCATGCGGTATTACTGTGGTGACTAATGCCCGAAATGCTAGTCGAAGAGGATATGCCGTATAAACCTAAAATGTGGTAAATAAAAGCGGTTCGGTGTGCGGTATGCAAATGTCTTGTAGGAATCTTGCAAAAAAAAAAAATAAAATAAAATAAAATAAATATCTTGGAGACACTGGCCACGTCGCTTTGGGAGGACATTAGAATGTTTGAAATAGGTTTTCACATTATGTATTTTAAAAAGGCTGTAGCAATGATGAAACGGCCATGTCTCATTAAGGCTCTCAAACTGTACACTTTTCAGCTCTTAAACTGTAAAACACTTTGAGAAAAGAAAGTGAGGTTACATCTGCCCTATATTTTGTGCCTAAATACACTTGTGTGTGAGAGTATTTTAAACAAGATAATGTTTTGAATATTCCTCGAATGATACTTACTCATTTAATATTTATCACAAAAAAGTAGAAATGAAACAAATAAAAATATTCAATTTCAACTTATAAATGTATATATATATTTTTTTTTTAATTATAATATATTTACTTATACATATCTATTTAGACTATAGCTAGTTGCAGGTAGATATACTTATTTATTTACAAACAATATATCATTCGGAAAATTCAATTAAAATTTACATTATTAAAATTAATTATTTATTATTTTGCTTCTTGTATAAGTACTGGCAATAATTTTTAAATGTTTTTAATAAGGAAACAAAATTATTTTTAATAAGACAACAAAAAAAAAACATATTTTACAGTTATCTAGTTATTTAGTCTATGCTGCTCATTATAAGCTAATAATTTGTTCTTTAAACCCGAGTTGAATGTATGTACATACATTTATGTATGTATGTATCTTTAAGTTTCATTATAAAAAATTAAAAAAAAATTAAGAATTGAAATTGATATTAGATTTTAAATTGTTAAGTAGGGAAATTAAGGTAATTCATTATGCAATTACATAATTAATTGAAACACCACGAAAATTCCTCCAAAAAATGGGCCTAAAAACATTGAATATACATTAATTGAAAAAAAATGCTGGGAATATAAACAAACATTAAATTTATTCGTATAAAAGGAAAAATAAATCATGCTCTTTATATAATGCAAAAAGGAAATTATATTGAATTTTGAGGGAAAAACATAAAATTATTAGAAACTCTTTTCAATTTATGCCTATTTACATACATATTTTTTGCTTAAAACTACTAAGTAAGTAAGTTAATTTCTTATACATGAATGTATAACCAAAAAAAAAAAATATATGTATATATATAGATATATGTATGTATATAATCCAAATATTTATTTAATTAGCTTTTTATTGCTCAAAAAATAATTAATACTTGCACTTTTAATATTTCTACTTTTTGCTTCTTCTTCTTTCTCTTTTTCTTCAACTCATCATACATTTTCAAAGCTCAAAATTTGTTTATTTTTTTTTTTACTAATTTTTAAACATTACACTTTTCTGAATAATTTTATTTTAATATAAATACATACATATGTACATATGTTTGTATGTACTCGTATGTACATACATTTGCTAGAGGCTTGTATAAAAAAAGAGTACGATTTTAGTGTAACACCGTTAAACGCATACCACGCATATATACAAAATGTATGTATATACATATGTATAAATATATGTATTTCTAGTCTTACATTCTATAAGCATAATTTGAACTATCACAATGGAAATCCATATTTCGCATACATGGATATAAGTATATATGTATGTATATGTATAAATATTTATACAGCTTTTAATTCCCGTTTTTTACATAATTTCTAATTAAGCACGGATACACACACAATTTAACTGTGTATTTAATTTATTAATATATAATATGTATGTATTGTACACACATTGCTGCTTTTTTACATATTTTCTTTTTATATATCATAAGTACATAAATTTTATATATGTATGTATGTACATAAATACAAATGTAAGTATTTTCACGTCACTTCAACAATTTCTGGTATTTATCTCTATGTGTGTATATGTGTGTGAGTGTGTGTGTGTGTGTATCTATCATAGTGTTAGTTTCACTAAAACTTCCTTACAAAAATATCCTTGCACTACTAAATTAAGCACGTGTTAGTGTTTGACATTAGTCTCTGGTCCAATTGTTGCATTAATACCACCATCGATCGCTTTTGCCTCTTTCTTCTCTCTCAAATATGTGATCAAGTATTCTGCTGACCATGCGATGACACAGAGGAATATGCAGACTGTTTGTGCGTGTATACAGATGGGGTAGCTGGTGGTGACGTCACGAATTAGACCTGAAAAAGAAAATGCATTTAATATCTATAAACCTATGTACATATGTATATGTGTGCGAATGTATCCTTACCGATCAATGGACCCAGACAAATAACAAAAACAGCTTTACCCACTAAATGCCAACCGAAGGCTGAAGGTAATTTCTCCAACGAACAATACTCGGAAACGGTTAGTGTGAAGTTCGCTAGCGCCGAGCCGCGGAAGAAGCCGCATATCGAGAGCCAAACCATTAGTTGTGTCCATTCGGTTTGTTCGGCCATAACTGGAAAGTGGAGAAAATATGAAAAATTACTTATTATATACCGTTAGAATGTGATAAAAAGAACGTCGTAAAATAGTTTTCAAAAGGTGGGTGAAGCTTGTTTGGTTAGTTGGTTACTGCACGGGGGGATTGACACTAGACACGGCCAGCCGGTGAGCTCTCAAATATTCATTATCTCAGTGGCGCAAACTTCGTAAGACTATTGTATTTGAGCTTTGTTGGTTAAAAGTCGTACACTCAGTTCGATCTCAGCGGTTCGTATTATTTAAGGATCATATTGAGCTCTACAAGATTTGTAAAATCTTTGGTAAATGATATCTCAGCGGTCTAGGTATTTCTCGTTTAGTTGTTTCAACCATCTATGCTGCAGTAACCATTTTCTTATTCGCTCTCAGTTGGTAGGGTGTTAAACTCTGAGTACTTCTGTAGAATAAGTCTGATGTCTTCAAAATTTAACTTCGCTGACAACTCCAGTGTTGAGAGCGCCTGATCCGCGGCGGTCGAATTAACTGCTCTCCCACATTGCACAGGCTGGAGCGACCACTGTCGGCTAAACATCCGGCTGTCGGATTTTTTTATCTCCAAGTGGTAGCCAACACTTAGTAGTATAACTAAGCGCAGCCAATGTACTCTGCAGCCAAATGGTTCAAGAAATGAGTACTACGAGTACACTTACTGGACAGTCATTGGTATGAAACGTCGCCTAATGGAGTGCAGCTGCTAGGGAAAGTCTTCTGTAAATTCCTATGAAATTTTGCGTTCACTTAGCCATCGCTTCCGCGTTCATTACATCATGAAGGCCAGTTGTCGCTCCAGTTTAATTCTCTAACCTTTTGCAGCTGAAATATTTGAAATCAAATATAAAGGGATCAGACTTAAAGTTTTCTGTAGACGTAAGATAATTTGGAAAGCGTCGAGCGAGTACATTCCGAGGCTATGGAAAGCGTTTTGCTGAGATGGCAGTATTTCCTGAGTGAAGTCGCTTCACGGCCGAGAAGGTCCTTCAATCCTATATCCAATTTTTTTTTCTCCGCGGCCGCTATAGGCGAGTAATTAGTAGTGCGTGCCACCATCTTGATGTACAAAGAAATTGCAGAAGAACTCGGTCGAAAGCCACTTCAGCCGTTGAGCTCGATGAAGAAGTAATAATCCGCCATAAGGAGGACCAGAATAAGGCGTCTTCTCTTGCCGAACAAGATACAGAGCTTTGCGGTCAATTCAAATCATTTAAAAAGTACTGATATTCCAAAATTGGATTGCCTTTAAAATTTAAATCTTTTGCTAGAGAAAGTGGGTTCCAATGCTAAATGTCCGCCGTGCTAGTAAGTAATTCAAGTCTAAGAGAACTGTGAGTCGGGTATATGTATATGACCTATGATACTTTCTTAAAAGCCTCACTAAAATACTCACTTGATCGCGTGATGCCCACAAAGATGATGGAAACCAAAAACACCGTGCGCTTCTTGATTGTTGTCCGATCGAATATGGGCGGGAGTATTATACGAGCCGCAATATCTGTGATCGCTGTTATCGATAGACAGAAGGCCACATCTGTTTTATTATAACCGAGATTGGCGAAGAAGAATGGCGTAACCATTTTAAAGTTCATCTCGCCGACATAGAAGATCGACAGACCGAATAGGATATTTAAAAAGATTTTATCACGCAGCAAATCAACATCCATGAGATCTGCAAAGCGACGCCAAAAACCAGGCTTCTTCTCTGCCTCCTTCTCCGGTGATTCCTCATTTTTCTCAGTCTCTGTTGGGCGCATTTTAATAAACGAATCACGATGGGCATTCGCCATGCCACTCGCCGCTGTGTTGACGCGCTTCAACTCCCGATCATTACGTTCAAACTCTTCGTCACCGGTGTTCATGTGCACTTGAAGTATGGAACCGGTGAAGTCCATATAGGATAGATTTGACGTGACCGAATGTTTGCGGTTGCGCAACGACATATTTACATCGGTGCTTGAGTTGCTGGTATTCACCGCCGATTGTACGCCAGCGAGTGACATGATGCGCGGGAATGTGGGACGTTTGGGCATGCCCATGCGTGTACCATTCATTGTATTCATTGCCATTTCCGAGTAATTCTTACGCATATATTGCTTATTGGGAAAGAGTAGTGTATTCAATTCGGGCAAGGCGTCTTCCTCGCCAGCATCTTCGCGTATGATCTTCGTATCTGGTGTGGGTGGCGATACCGGCACTGTCATCAGCTCCTCATCAATCACCTCCTCCTTCATATGCCACTTTGCTGGCTGCAGGAGTACCGCACCGACTGTGGAGTTAAGTGCAACGCCAGCCAACATCAGTACAGCGCCACGGAAACCAAACGCTTCGAGCAGCATACGCACGAGCTGTGGCATAATAAGCATACCCAGCGCAGTGCCAGCCATCGAAAGACCAACAGCTTGACCACGTTTATTCTTGAAGTAATGATTGAGCGCCACAAAGGCCGCAGAGGTAGATAGACCGACACCGATGCCATTAATCACACTATACGTGGCGAGTATATGTGGCATACTGGAGGCGGGTGATGTGGCTGCCAAGCCAAGGCCACAGAGTAGTGAACCGGCGACAGCTACTTTGCGGTAGGAAAACTCCTTCAGCAGAGGACCGACGAAGAGGCCTGAGAAGTTCATGCACACATCGAGTGTGCTCATGATAATTGCAGCGCCGGTGGTGCCGACATTGAGATCGCGTAGTAAGTCGCCAAAGAGCAGGCCAAATGAGGGTTCAATTGAGCGAGTGGCCAGCTGAAAATAGAAAAATAAGAGAGAAAAGAGAATTAAAATTTAGAAAATTAAATATCTAAAAAATCTATGTACGAGTATACATATATAATGAATAAATAAACGCATAATTATCGATAAATAACTCTTAGTTCATTAACATTTATTTTGTACCATTGTCAGCCTATATATTATGATTACTGCCTTTTTTGATAGCCGTGGAACCGTTCACAAAGAAGTTCTTCCACCGGAGCAAATCGTAAATCAAATCCAGGAATTCGAAAAATTGCGAAAACGAGTCAACAGGGTGCGCCCAGATATCGCTTGTAACTGGATTATTCCTCACAACAGCGCACCGCGCCACACCGGCCTCAGCGTGCCCCAGTATTTGGCCTCTAAAGGGACCGCCGTGTTGCAACAACCGCCTGATTCGCCCGATATGTCACGCTGTGACTTTTTGTTCCCTAGAATCAGTGGTCAAAGAAACCCATTTAGAGTCGATTGAGGACATCCAGGCAGCCGTGACGAGGGTACTCGCGAACATCCCAGTCGAAGCGTTCCAGGGATGTTACGAAGCATGGAAAACGCGCTGGAATCGTTGTAAAGCTGTCCAAGGGCACTACTTTTAAGGGGATGGCAGGGTTGTAGAATAATTTTGAAATTTACGTTTTTTATGGAATCAGTCTCGTTACTTAATGGTGATACCTCGTATATATATAAATAAATAATTGACGATTTGTAACTGCTGAAGCGATTTTTCGGCCGAGCTTCTCCTCCAATTTGTGGTTTTGCGTCTTGATTTTTTTCCAATAAATGAAGGGACCTTCCGTTTTTACTAAGCCACTCTCGAACGTCTGATAGTTTTTATAAGGAGCCTTGAGTTCCTTGTTGGAAATACACTCGGAGGGGTTGATATTCAATGACGAGAAGTAACCGCAATTAGAAGAGTAAAATTTATATAATTTTGAATGTTGTTCGGCCCAGAACTCGAACTCTGTCCTTCGGAATGGCAGTATGCACTGCTAAACACTTTGCATTCGCAGCTTACTCTTTACCTTATCGATCGATTATTGATTTTGCATTTCAAAATTATTTTGAATTATTTTAATTTATTGTATAATCGATAATCGTCCGTTTGATTGATGCAGCGCACTGGCGGCATAGCCTGAATACGTAATTCATTCTCAAACTATCATTATGACTGCGTTGGTATAGGTCCGTCATACAGTTCTTATTAATAAATATATTTTTTATGATTAAATAATTCTAAATGTAATGAAATAAGCCCTTAAGCTCAATTGACCGGTTGCGGCTTTGAAAAGAAAGACAGTGTGGCGTCAAGAGTTTTGATTTTGTTATCGAACCGATCGGAAGGCGCGGTCATGCTAAAGTTGGCGGAACTTATGAGGGTGAGACAAGAACTTATCGAAAAGTTACTTTTTATCAGAGCTCTTGATACCTGGCTCTCGAGCAATGCGAACAGCTCCATACTCGTCCGTTGCTCAAATGCTCAAGCTGCACGAAAATGTTGGAACAAAACATTGAGCTCTACTTTCTATCTCAAAAAATATACCAAGGATTTAATACGTATATATACTGTGAGCAGATCATGTTTTTCATGAAAAACACATTGTTAGGAGGGTAACATGCTTAGGCCAAAATAGACGCACTGTGATACCTCAAAAAAATTTCCTCTAACCCTATGGCTACTCTTCCATTCACTACGACGCCCTTATAAATATTATTTGGTCGCTTGTTTTAACTTTTTTCACATGGCAAAGTCCATAAAAGCGGCGCCAAAACTCGAACTATGGTCAGAGAGAGGCAAACTCTTAACATGTAGAAAATCGTCCCTCCGTCCTCTTCATAGCAGGATCTACAAGCAGCAGTATCTTTTTAAAGGGATCCTGTCCTAAAAAGCAATACTCCCAAGATCCCAATTACCTCAGGAATGTTCTCTGTTTTCGGTACTATTTCCGTTTTGTCAGGACCTGCCAAGTTTTTTAAAGAACTAATTTTATAATTTATTTGAAAATAGTCCATTAAGGATTGTTCAATCACAAACCCGATTACGTACGAAATTTTATTTGCTTCACCCTTCAATTTAGTATTTGGTTTCAAGGCAATACTGGATTGAAATGTCTTATCATTTTTAGTATTTGATCTGGCTTTTCTAGTTGTACTGGAAGGGAGTGGGCGCTCTGGGTCTTGCCTTTCCGAGTTTATCCACGGCTATCTCACAAAGATTTGCTGACCTCTCTCTCGATGTACGTGTTCCAGGGTTTTCCAGGCATACTTAGTGTTCAACTCCGGATACTTTGAACTTGACTGGTTTTTAATTGGCTCTGAACGCCTATCAGTCCCCTTTATTGTCATTGTTAACCGATAGTTTTTTCAGTAAGTTGCGTTTCCTGACAACTTGGCTCAAAATATTTTCGCTGAGATTTTTCCTGATTACGCAGCTCCTTGCTCTGTTTGTCATATAAGTCATCTAAACGAATCTTTGAAGAGCTCTAGCGCCAAGCCTTTTGCTCCTCTAAATCGTCGTTTTCGGTTTCTGACAATCATCTCAGGTCTGTGAAAGCAGTGGCGGTGGCCGTTACACTGTCAGCACTGGTGCTCAAGGCAGAAGTCTCCGTTCTTGAGCCAAAAACTTGTTTCTTATATCCATCAGTACCGGCATTGTTAGGTTGCGATGGACTAGGATTCGCTACTCGTAATTCCCATGGTATAACGCCAGCTGCTACCTTCGAAGCCATTCCAAGTTCTGACAAAAAAGGGTGCTGTACCGGAACCTGATGGTAAGTCAAATTCTCAACTTGAAGATAGCGGCAGTAGTCCGAAATTGTTCTCCAGGATGAGCTAAGTTATTTGGTAAAATACTTGAATTTTCACTAAAAATGCTGCTGAGTTACTTCGACCTTCGCATTTTGAGCAGGAACTTACTCTTGGCAGGAGCTTCTTATTCTTGATTTAAAAACTTAAGTTGGTCGATTGATTAAAAAACCCGGAGGCAGTTCCGCTTCCGTGCCTGTCGGTCAGGGCGTACGTCTCAAGAGAACCTACAAGAACTTGAAAACGGTTCTATGCAAATTAAAATCCCACATGAATATCAAGTTTGCCAAGAGGACGTGATAGGATCGTAGAGATTTAGGTATGTTCGCCGCGGAGGGATCTTGAAGTTGACGTAACGAGCATACCGCTTGAAATTGCGTTACACATAGAGCTGGAATGAAGCAATTCGTGGAGTAACTTCCACAGATGGATGCTAAAGAGAGCGGAGATATTAAGTAGCGGAGAAAAAGATACTGGGGAAGTTGAAGTATTTCAGTGATGTAGATTGTTGGATGCTTCAGAGAGATCTTCCCGCTGATTCTTAGCCTTAAAACCTAAGTGGTGAGCCCACATATTCTACGAAATTAGATAACAGTTTCGTATTGTTGTAATTAGTGTTAAATGTATGCAAATGAATTCAGCTTTTCTGCCTACTGAAGTGCTATACATACATACTCGTATATGTATATGTACATATGTACTCATTTTCAATTTTAGTGCTTCAATGATTTAATTTTTGTAAACAGTTGTCGTTTTACGTTTTGCTGAGGTTATAAAGTACATACAAACATGTGTATGTACATATGTACATATGTAGTTTGTGAATAATATTAACACTTTTGCAATTGTTGTTGTTTGTTTGGCGTGCGCTCAGGACGCATTCGCATGATTAGAATATTTGAAAGTGATTTAGCGCGACGCTAAACGCTTGTTATGCGTGTTTGAGCGTATTTACGGTATTATTTGAGGTAGGAAAACCGGCTGGGACTGCAATAAAGAAAGCTTGTTTAGAGGTTTGGCAGAGCGTTTGCACATATGTTGTGTATTTATGTATGTAGATATGTCTGTATCAAGATATTTATCAATTCTCTTGAAATTAGAGATCTAAAAATCGAATTTAAATAAAATTAATAAATATTTACACTGCTTTTGTTATGCTCCTTTTGTGATATTCCCAGCCGGTAAACAAATTTTAGACTACTCTAACTGTTTAATATTGTTATTAATATATTTTATTGTTTGTATATTTATTTATGTTTTTTTTTTTCGTTTTATTTCGTTCGTGCGAAGCGTGCTTTTAACTCCATTTGCTTCTACTTTCGCGCTTAAATGTGAAAAATCACCATTGGCTGTGATTTGCACGATCAATACTTAAAAGATTGGTTAGCAACAATTCTACTGAAATAAGATATAAATAAATCATTATTTATAGTTTTCAATTTTAAGCAAAATTCAAAGCAATGAAAAATCGCTATCAATCCAACCAACTCGTAGACGAGTAATCACATTTTATGACTATATTTGCGGTGATTGATGCTTGAAGTGTAGCTCATTGCAGTGCGGTGATTGATGCCATGTAATTGGCTAAATAAATGAAATTGAAAATAAATGGTTTATCATTTCATGAGTATTTTATAATCTCACACAATTCCACAGCTCAATTCATTTATCGACTATTTTATATCGGACACAAGTAATCATATACCTGCATACATGCACACATACATACATACATACTAACATCCATACATACATACATACATACATACATACATACATACAAACATTTAACTGCATTAAACACTAACAATAATAATAACAAGAACGTGTAATAAATCAAAAGCGCTGCTACAACAATCATCATAGCAAATTATTGCATAGCTCACGTGAATATTTGGCTTTTCAATTACTCTTCTAACGGTAATTCATTTATTGCTATACAGTAGATAATTGTATTGGTCGGAAGAAATCAATATACAACAATTTTATAACAATAAACTGCCCATTTGTATTTAATATTGTTTATTGAGCAGCGATATAAGTGTTTCTTAAGGACCAGCCAGCGATTGCCTGAAACTTTCTTTATCACTCAACCGAAAAAAAAATTACATGCACTTAAAAGTATTTATAATATTTTATAGCAAATAGATCCACGTTCTTCAGTGTTAAAGTTTTAACTTGCGAAAATT